CTGGGTAGTCAAGTCCATGCTGTTAACTAGTGTGACACAACAGGATCAAAGAAGAATGACAATAAAGGGCTGGTAAAAGATGTGTCAAGATATGTTAATTCTATCTCAATAAAGCAGGGAGATTAAAAGATATGCCAGGAAATTGTTAACCAAAAGAAAGCAGGTCACATAATATTGATGTCGGACAAGATAGAATTGGAAGAGAAAAGGTCTGAACAGGCCAAAAAGGAATATGGCACGTGGTCAGATGATAGATAGACTTCATCATCTGGAACAGCAGGAACCTTATCTACCTAATAGCTTCACAACACACAACAAAAGGCAAGCGAATACTCGTTAACAAGGACAATCCCAGATTCATGGTGGGAGACCAATAAATGAGCCTCTCAGAGAACATCTGATAAAGCAAAATTAAAAGTAAGGACATAGGGAACACAATACGGATTCCCAAGGAAGTCTTCGGGTTTCACCCACGGAGACTGGAGGACAGGCCAACCTTTTTCTGTGCTCCCCACCTGCAGGGTTCTTCCTGCAGCTGCAAAGGGCGAGGGGAGCGGGCACCACTAGAGCCGTATCCACAGACATGATAACCTTGGCACCCTTCAGGGCTCCCTGCAGATACTGGCAGAGATGCTAGACAATGCAAGATGCCAGCCAGCCTCCTTGGTGATTAGCTCTCAGAGACAGAAAAACTGTTAAATCATCAGGATTGTTCTCACCAGGGGTGGAAGAAAATGTTTGTCCAGGAAAGAAGATAGTATGATTGATTGCTTGTACTATTGCTATAATGGTAAAAATACATCTTTTCCACCAATGGCCTAATAATTTACATCTTTCTCAGTGGACTTTCTTTATATAGTGTATTTCATTCAACATTCAACAAGTACTTATTGATCAGGTACTGTCTGTTAGGTGCTGGGGGTACAGCTGTAAATAAGATAAATAAGGTCCTGTTTTCTTTTTTAAAGCTTATTTATTTATTTTAGAGAGAGAAAGCGGGGAGGAGGGGAGAGAGAGAGAACACTAAGCAGGCTCCAAGCTGTCAGCACAGAGCCCAGTTCAGGCCTTGATCCCACGAACTGCGAGATCATGACCTGAGCCAAGATCAAAAGTCGGACCGTTGGGGCACCTGGGTGGCTCAGTCTGCTAAGCGTCTAACTTCGGTTTAGTTCATGATCTCTCAGTTCGGGGGTTTGAGCCCTGTGTCGGGCTCTGCATTGACAGTGCAGAGCCTGCTTGCAATTTTCTCTCTCTCTGCCCCTCCCCAACTTGCACTTTCTCTCTCTTTCAAAATAAATAAATAAGCTTAAAAAAAAAAGTCTGACACTTAACAGACTGAGCCATCCAGGCACCCCAAGGTACTTGTTCTAATAGAGTCCTTAAGCTAACGGGAACATTTAGCAAAGCGACAATTGCAAAGAGTGATAAATGTTATGACGAAAACAGAAAGATATGAGGCTAGGGTTGCCAGATAAAATTCAGGGCACCTGAATCAATGTGAATTTCAGGTAAACAATGTATGATCTTTTAGTATAAGTATGTCCCGTGCAATATTTATACCAAAAAAGCCATGCACTGCTATTCTGAGATTCACATTGAACTGGGTGTCATGTATTTTACTTGCTAAATCTGGCAAACCTAAATGTTGAGTTATTTGGTGTGGACAGTGGGCAATTTCAGACAGGATGGTGACATTTGACTTGGAATCTGAATGTACAGAGATGGAGCCAGTTATCCAGGGGTCTAGAAGAGCCTTCCAGGCAGAGGGAATAGCAGACCTAAACACTCTGAGGAGTAAGCTTGGATCTTGGAAGAACAGAAAGGAAGTGAGGTGGCTAAGTTGAATGAGGGTAGAGAAGAGAAGGGAGGAAGTTAATGAGATCAGACGGGTTGGCAGGGGCCAGATCTTGCAGGGTTTGTGGGCTGTGATAAGAGATGTTGAGTAATTTTACAAAAAAACTTACATCATGACTCTTTCACTCAAACAAAGCATTTTTTAAAAACATTTTATCTCAGGAATTGCTTTTACATGTTCATAGGCAGGGTGCTATCAAAGATAAATAAAGCTGGACATTGTTAAAGCAGTAAAAAAATTTTTATTCAGTAACTACTGACAGTAGGGGAAAGAACTGCTTCTGACTATGCAGAGGTGACTGGGCAATTTAAAAGAGAATGAAGGAGTAGGGGAGAGAGTGAGGGCACAGGTAAAAACTTACAAAGGGTTGGTCAGTGTAAATGTAATCAAGTTAGCTATGTCTGCTAGCTGGTAATTATCAAAGTTAGGCTTCCAGCCTCCCACAGAGAGCAAAAGATCCAGGCCTTACCTTCCTGATGATCATATTTCCAAGGAATAGCTTTCAAGTCATTGAGAAAGACACTCCTGAATTGCAAGATACATATATATCTCAAAGAGACTGAAGAAGGATTCACAATTGCTCTAAGATGGGGCGCCTGGGTGACTCAGTCCATTAAGCGACCAGCTCTGGATTTTGGCTCTGGTCATGGTCTCATGGTTCGTGAGACTAAACCCCGTGTTGGGTTCTGCACTGACAGCCCCGGAGCCTGCTTGGGATTCTCTGTCTCCCTCTTTCTCTGTCCCTTCGCTGCTCATGTTTTCTCTCTCTCTCTCAAAATTAATAAACTTAAAAAAAAAAAAGTAAATACTCTAAGAAAGAGAGGTTGGGGTCTATCCTTGGGTATTGGACTAGAACAAACACATACAGTAAATTCTCCTGGCAGCATTGAGCTTTCTCAAGCAGTCACGTGTGTGTGTGTGTGTGTGTGTGTGTGTGTGTGTGTGTGGTGGTGGTGGTGGTGGTGGCAGGGGGACACTGCGGTCATACTAAGGGCATGGCTTCATGCTGCTAGAAGCCAAGTTCAAGTTTGGTTATCTCTCTCTCTTTTTTTTTTTTTAATGTTTTTTATTTATTTCTGAGAGAGAGACAGCATGAGCAGGGGAGGGTCAGAGAGAGATGGAGACACAGACAGAAGCAGGCTCCAGGCTCTGAGCTGGCTGTCAGCACAGAGCGCCTGATGCGGGGCTCAAACCCACGAACCATGAGATCATGACCTGAGCTGAAGTCGGACACTTAACTGAGTCACCCAGGCGCCCCAAGTTTGGTCATTTCTTGCTGCAGAGGTTTGGACAGAGTCTTTACGTGTTCAGAGTTCTTCAGTTCTCAGTGCCTATGAAATTCTGTGTTCTTACAATATTTGTTTCCTTGAATGATAACCAAATATATGTCTTTCAGTCCCTAGAGAAGCAAGCAGCAATGGCAAGGGATGGACTCTGAGAGAGCTGGGCCTTGCTGGTGGCCGAAACTGAGGGCTGGGATTTCCGTAACTCCTCATTGCTTCCTGTCATTGTCACGCTCAATGGATCATAGGATCCTGCAGGCCCTACTCTCCAGTATATCCTGAAGCTGTCCACTTGTCTCCATATACATGTTACTCACCTGAATCTGGGCATTGCATCTCTCTTCCGGAGGCTTCCAGTCTCCCTGCTTCAAGCTCTTCCCCTCTCCCCCCCATACAGTCCATTCCCACACAGCAACTGGTGGGCCTTTTTTTTTTTTTTAATAGTTTATTTATTTTTGAGACAGAGAGAAACAGAGCACGAGTAGGGGGAGGGCAGCGAAAGAGGGAGATACAGAATTTACAACAAGCTCCAGGCTCTGAGCTGTCAGCACAGAACCTGACGCGGGGCTTGAATCCAGGAACCGCGAGATCATGACCTGGGCGGAAGTCGGACGCTTAACCGACTGAGCCACCCAGGCGCTGGTGGGCCTTTTAAAATATAGATTTGATGGCCATCCTAGAATAGATGCACATAAGACACAGTCTAACGAGGCTTATGAGCCCTACATCATCGGGCCCCTGCTGGCTTCTCTACCTTCAGCTCCTGTTTCTCCGCACTTCATCAAGCCCCGCCTAGCTCACTCCTGCCTCCGAGTCTTCCCTGTTGACATCCCCTCCTCCTGGAATGCCCTCTAGGCTGATCTTCACACAGCTGTCTCCTGGTTGAAACTCAGGGCAAGAGTCACTTGTTCAGAGGCCTTCTCTGACCATCCCATGACTTTCCAAGTCACTGACTGTCATATCACCTTGCTTTAAATTTTCTTCTCATAGGGGCGCCTGTGTGGCTTAGTCGGTTAAGCGTCCGACTTTCACTTAGGTCATGATCTCGCGGTTCGTGGGTTCGAGCCCCGCGTCGGGCTCTGTGCTGACTGCCAGCTCAGAGCCTGGAGCCTGTTTCACAGTCTGTGACTCCCTCTCTCTCTGACCCTCACCTGCTCATGCTGTCTCTCTCTCTCTCCTAGAAATAAATAAAACATTAAAAAAAAAAATGGGTCGCCTGGGTGGCTTAGTCGGTTAAGCGTCCGACTTTCGCTTGGGTCATGATCTCGCAGTTCGTGGGTTCAGGCCCCGCGTCGGGTTCTGTGCTGACTGCCAGCTCAGAGCCTGGAGCCTGTTTCGGAGTCTGTGACTCCCTCTCTCTCTGACCCTCCCCTGCTCACGCTGTCTCTCTCTCTCTCCTAGAAATAAAAAATAAATAAAAAAAAATAAATTTTCTTCTCATAGAGCTTATCAAGATCTGAAACTAATTATTTTGTTTATTCTGTCTCTCCCTCTAAAACATGTGCTCTGCAAGGGGAGAAAGTTCTCCGTCTGAGAGGCTATGGACAGGGCTTTGAGCCGTTCGTTCAACAATTATGCAAGACCTACTACGTGCCTCACTGAAGCCCTACATCAGACGAGGTCACACTCCAGCGGCCACGGGCTGAACCCGTGTCCATCTAGCGGGGGAAAGTGGGGATTGTGCTGCCCGTGGCGGCGGTCTAAACCAAAGGGCATTGTCGCTTCTGACGTCAGCGCAAACACAGAGCGCGTCTCCATTGGTCCTTCGAGTTTGGGTGGGGCGCGAGCGCTCCTGGCCCCGCCCCCCGCCTCTGCCCCGCTCACGCATGCGCCCGGGCCGCAGCCTCGCCGCCGCGCCATTTTGCCGGGGTTTGAATGTGAGGCGGAGCGGCGGCAGTGGTGGGTAGTGCCGGCTACAGTTCGCGGCTGAGATTGCCTTCTCCGTTCCCGTATCCCCAGGAGGTGAGGCGCGGGGCGTGCACGGCCTGGCAGGGTGGCTTCTTGGGACCCCGCTAGGGGAGGGATGCGGCGCTCCTGACACTTCCGAGCGCTGGGAAGCAAGGACCGCGCCTCTGGGCGAGAGCGGAATGCGGACCCGTGCTTCAGGCGGCGCCCTCCGGCGAGGTCTTTGCCCGCATCGACCGGTCTCGCTGAGCCTCACCTTGCGGCGCCCCAAGACTCGGCCGCAGGCCCGGCGGCCCCGGGGCCTGTGAGGGGCGAGGGCCCCCGAGGCGCGGCCTAACGCGAGCTGCCCGAGCGTCCGCCCCTTCCCCTCTAGAGCCGCGCGGATTGGTCGCGCAGCCGCCGGGCCGCTCGGGAAGGCCGCCTCTCATTGGTCGCGCCCGCGCGTCCGTTCTCGTCGCTCCCGGCCACCCGCAACGTGAGCGGAGTGCCGCGGCGAGGCCTGCCCGGCCGGGCTGCTGGGCGAAGGCCGGCCGCCGCCCAGACCTCCTCTTGCCCCGACCCGCTTTCGGATTGTAGAGGGGGCAGCTTTAGCCTCCCTGGGCTTCAGTTTCCCCGACCGCAGGTGGGCATCGTGTTCTCACTTTGCCGAGTTGTCCTAGTCCGTGCACCTGCCCAGGAATGCAGGGTCCAGCTCTTGGCGGAAAGGCGATAATACGGCACTTCGGAGCGCGAGCTTTGGAATTAGAAGGCCTGGGGTCGCTCCAGCTTTGGCCTCTCCGTAGGGGTGCAGTTTAGGGCTATAATCACTTCATCCCTTGGTGTCTCCCATTTTCGTTATCCTCAAAGCGGGTTTGAAAACAAGCTGCTTCGTGAAGTGGGTGTGAGGATCCCCTCAGTCATTACTGTGGTTTACAAAGTCCCCCCTGAAGGGACCGTTGTCCGCCTCTTCCACCATCTCTCCTCAGCCGCTGTAGCTGGCCTGCTGATGTCGGGTTTCTTCAGTGTTCCAGGCTCGTGCCCACCGTAAAGCGTTTGGACGGGCCTTTCGTTTGCTTGCAAATTACCGACATCTTAGGGTTGCCAGGCTGGCTCTCTGTCTTTTAAGTTTCAAGCCTCTTCCACCTTCTCTGAGGGCTGCTTTCTTTTAACTGTAGATAGTATTTATCATTATGTGGAACTACCTAGAGTTGTTCATTGTCTTTCTCAGCTGCTTGGTTGTAAACTTGAAGAGCAAGGACCTTGCCCGTCTTGTTTACTGTTGTGTTCCCTGGGTGAGTGCTTGCCACGTGGTGGATGCAGGAGTATTGTTATTCCTTGGAGGCACAGAAGGGGACTTTTACTCTTGGAATCACCAGTGTTCTTTTCTCATCCCCTTTTCTGCCACCCCCGTCCAATTTTTTTTTTTTTTTTTTTTTTTTTTTACTTGTGTGTGTTTCTCCACTTTCTGCATAATTCCTGGGACTCTTAAGTTCACCTTATCACTCCCTCCCCCCCAAGACACTTCCCCTTCTTTCCATCAGTGCAAGGGTATTTTCTCTTCCCATCTGGTTACTTTTATTTTTGCTAGTTTGAGGGCGAGACCGAGATTTCCTACACTTGATCTTAGCCAAAAGGCCAAGAAGTGGTACAGGTAAAGGTTTCCTCTACAGGATTGGATGGGTTTGAGAGCACTGCTCTACCTTTGGGATTAATTTGTTTCTTTATTCGTTTAACAACTAGAGCATCCACTCAATCTCTGGGAATACAGTGAAGAAATAAAAATGGATAAGGTTTTTTCCCTTGGAGAGCTTATATTAGTGGGAGAAAGAAACAAGAATACAAATAAATTAATTAGATACTTTCAGATAGTGATACGTGACAGATGAAGAAGGTGACATTTGAACTGAGACCAGCCATGGAAAAGCGAGGAGACAGAGCATTCTAGGCAGAGGGAATAGAAGGTACAGAGGCTTGAGGATAGGAACAAACTTAGAACATTGGAATATTGGAGGAAGATCCAGCTTGCTACAGTAATGTATGAAGAAAGGAGAGGTGTCTAGAGGCCGATCATGTAGGGCTTTGTAGACAGTACAAAGTTTGGATTTGAACGTAAGTGGTCTGTTCCTGTGATTAGAAAGCAGAGGGTGGGTCAGGGTGTTGGGGTATGTTCTTGATGTGTATGTGCCAGATAGTTTTCATTCATTGGATCTCTTTCCCTTTCCCCAGATGTAAGTACTCAGGAATGGTTCTCTAATATGGAGGAAATATCTAAGGAAAAGGCACAGATCTTGGATCAGCTTATGTCACAGATGTCTGTAAGATGGCCTTCGAAAGCAAAGCTTTTATTCCAAGTCTTCATCCATAACTGAGGGCCTGTGGGAAGAGGCTAGACTTAGGTCCAGCCATTCATTCAACAAGAAGAACTTGGAATTTAGTTAAGTCTCTCATAATTGATTTATTGTGGCACATGTGTTTTAGTTTTTAACTGAGATGGTAGGGATTTCCAAAGATAGTTCTGTGGAAAAAGTAAAGTGTTGCCCCTTATTTAAAGGCAAAAGAATGAATTTCCCATTTTTAGTTTGAATCTTTATTTTAAAATCAATAACACTTTCTACATTTACGTACTGCTGATATTTTATTTTATTTTTATTTTTATTATTTTTAATTTTTTTTATGTTTTATTTATTTCTAGGAGAGAGAGAGAGACAGTGTGAGCAGGGGAGGGTCAGAGAGAGAGGGAGTCACAGACTGAAACAGGCTCCAGGCTCTGAGCTGACAGTCAGCACAGAGCCCGACGCGGGGCTCGAACCCACGAACCGCGAGATCATGACCTAAGCGAAAGTCGGATGCTCAACCGACTAAGCCACCCAGGCGCCCCCGTACTGCTGATATTTTAAAAAGTCAAAGAACTTTCACCTGTGGCAAAATTAGGTAGCTTAATTAGACCTTGATCTTGCCCTTATATTGTGAATACCTATAGAGTATTTTCTAAAATTACCTGATTCGTCATCCCTTCCCAGATCAGGGCTAAGCTTACAATTTGGTTTTATAGTCATTATCATTAAGGAGATATAAAAAGGGTTTGTTGACAAATATTTAGTTCCTTAACTAATATTAAATTCTAGGATCTGTGTAGTATTTTGACTTTCAGGGGGTTTTGCCTGTATATTTATGTATCTCCCCCACAATTCCCCCCACGCATACTTTTTTTAGGTTTATTTTATTTTGAGAGAGAGTGCATAGGAGAGGAGCAGAGAGAGAATCCCAACCAGGCTCCGTGCTGTCAGTTCTGAGCCTAAATCAAGAGTTGGTTACTCTACCAACTGAGCCACGCAGGCCCCCCCCCCTTTTTTTTTTAACTTAAAAATAGTCATATCTTAGTACTTCAACTTTGTCATTTTAGGGTAGAATCCGTTTCTCCACCTCTTCCTATTTGTCACAGTCAATTGATCAGAACAAATGTATAGAATGATAATGCTTTTGATGGAAAAATCAAGAGATTATAGCTTTTGAAAGTAGTATAAGAACTATATATTAGATATTTATCACTTTTGTAAAGCTCTAGGGGGATTGAAGTGAACAAAACACAAAGCCCCTACTCTCGTGGAATTTAGTCTAGTGGAGAGAGAGGCACAGGGAACAAGAAAGCAAAGTAATATGCTTATAAAATCTGGAAATTTGGAGCTTGGAAAAATAGAATAAGGCAATGGAGAGTGGCTGACATGGGTGTTCTCTTAGATAGGATGGTTCAGGGGCGCCTGGGTGGTGCAGTTGGTTAAGCGTCCGACTTCAGCTCAGGTCATGATCTCACGGCGTGGTTGAGCCCCATGTTGGGCTCTATGCCGACAGCTAGCTCAGAGCCTGGAGCCTGTCTTCGGATTCTGTATCTCCCTCTCTCTGACCCTCCCCTGCTCTCTCTCTCTCTCAAAAATAAATAAAACATTTTTTTTTTTTAAATAAAACATTTTAAAAAAATTTAAAAAAAATAGGATGGTCCAGGAAGGTATCTCTGAAGAGATAACCTTGGAAAGAGACCTGAATGAAGTGGGTAGTGAGCCCTGTAGCTCTCCAGAGGCAGAGCTGTTCAGGCAAATAGGACACTAAATGCAGAATCCTGAAACAAAAATGTGAACGCTAACATATATGATCGGTAATCTAGGACAGATCTTAAATTCATTTCTTTCTTGAAACACTTTTTAGTGAATGGAAATTAATTGCGGTGGGTAAGTCGGTCGTGTAACTGAGTTCCTACGTTGTGTTGGGGCTCCTTATAATTGATCCTCGAAGAATAGTCTCTAATCCATACTGGGAACTCCTGCTTTAGCTAGTTGACTGACATATTGACTCATCCTTTAGTTCATGCAGCAACTGCTTATTGAATATTTTCCATGTGCCAGACAGTGGTAAAAGTCCTGGGCTTACAGAGACAAGACTATAAAGTTCCTGCGCTAAAGAGCTTACAAATAAGGATAACAGTTACATCAAAGATACTTTAAAAAAAAAAAGCTATTTCAGATGATGTTATTGCTGTTAATAGTGTAGATGATAGTGATGGAAGGTCTTTTTGAGGAGTTGATGGTGGGCTGACAGCTGAATGATGCCCAGTTTAAAATCAGAAGGAAGAGCATTATTACAGGCATGGTGAACTGTCTTGGCTGGTTCGAACAACAGAAGGGAAGACTTTTGTGGCTTAACCCCAGAGCCAAAAGAAGGTAGATGAGGTTGATAGGTGTCAGATTGCATGGAACTCTGCCATGGTAAAGAGTTTGGATTTTTAATTCAGATAATGATGAGGAATCTAAGAGATTTTGGTTGTGATAATGTCAGTGCTATAGGAACATAATTAAGAGAGTTAGTGAAATGCAGAATTATTAAGGAGTATATTAAACTCAACAGAATAGATCCAGTTAATCTCTGTAATCCTCCCAACACAACACACACACAGACACAGAGTTTCTAACATGCTGCCTTGCATAAATCTCAAAAAAGGCAGGACAAATTTGTGTGATACAGAGAGATGGATTTGTTTTGTTTTGTTTTTTTTGTAGGTCATATATACTGATGTAAATGATTTTACT